TGAGGAGGCCTGGGGTCAGTGGGGCTGCCCGCTGAGGGGCTGAGAGGCAGGTGACTGTGAAGGGGTCTGGGCACACAGCAGGGAGTGCCACCAAGGATGACACAGTGGGGAGCATGTGGGTGTACACCCCCACACTGAGTCTCCTGGTCTCTTTTCAACAGAACTCCACAATCCCACCTATGGCGTACCCCGACCCGACCTACGTAAGTGGCTCTTCGGGGAATGGTGGAGGGGACTGCTAGTATCGGGCAGGGTGGGAGGTGCAGGGCAGCTTGCAAAGTGGAAGGCAGTCATCTGGGGAGCTCAGGTTCCTACGACACCCAAGGAAGTTAGCATCCTGTCAATAGGAGCTCTCACCCTTCCAGTGAGTGGCCTCCCCTCTCAGCCCAAGGACTTTTGTGTCTGGCTAAAGCTCTTCCCATGACAGTCTAAGCCTCTTAATTTGATCAACACTGGCAAGTTTTTCTTTGGCATTTACCGAACCAAGGGAAGATAGCATGGAGCTCTTTCTTGAAAGTGTATTGCTCACAGACACGGTTGCCAAACAAGGTGACTGTCCAAATTCATGGAAACTGGCATACAGCTTCCTGCAGCTGCAGCTGCTCCAGGTGCTGCCGACTGACCTGCCCCTTCTCCCGACAGCCAATGCCGTTCTTCACCAGCATCCCAGGTGGGCTGTACCCCTCCAAGAGTATCATTGTGTCAGGCACTGTCCTGCCCAATGCTCAGAGGTAAGCCAGGGTTCTTAGGGAGGAGAGACACCCCAAGGTCATTTTGGCCATTCCCCTGGCTCTGGGCAGGCTGGGGAGGATCGGGGACCCAGGGCTCAGTGGGCACAGGAGGGTCATGCGTGCTGTCCACCCCCAGGTTCCACATCAACCTGCGCTCTGGGAGTGACATCGCCTTCCACTTGAACCCCCGTTTCAACGAGAACGTTGTGGTCCGCAACACACAGATCAACAACTCTTGGGGGGTCGAGGAGAGAAGCCTTCAGAGAAATATGCCCTTCACCCGAGGCCAGAGCTTCTCGGTGAGGTGCTGCAGCCAGGAGCCCAAAGGGGCCCTTGAGGGACAACAGGAGCCAGGGGTGGAGGGCACTGGGGGCAGCACCGTGAACAAGATGGGGGCCAATGCCTCTGCAGGGGGGCTCAGCCCCAAAGAAGAGAAAGTGTTCAACAAATCATCATTATTGTCATTTTACTATCACTGCCCCACGTAAGGTAGGTGGTGGCGCCAGCAGTTTACAGATGAGGAGACAATCTCATATGTGCAGGTTCCTGGCCTGAGGTCACACAGCCAATAAGGGCCAGACTGAACCCAAGAGTGAGGTGTCACTCATTCACTCCCCACTCATTCGACAGTTGTTTCTCAGCTGTTGTATCACAGTCACTTTGTGCAGGAAGCACTCCAGGCTCTGGGGGTACAGCCTTGTCACAGACAGGTGGGGTCCTGCTTCCGCGGAACTGACAGATTTGGGAGAGGGACAAGGAGGCAAAGCACAGGCAGATCATTGCACATAAAGACATGCAGAAAGCAGAACGGAATAATGGGCTAGAGTGAGCACCGGGACAGGGGCCAAGCTGCCTCCAATGGGGACAGCTGTGGGAGGGGGAGGCCACAGAGCAGGTGAGACCTCAGGGACAAGAGGCTTCCTGGTAAAGATCTGAGGGGGTGGTGTTTCTGGTGGGCAGTGGAAGGAGCAACTGCTGCAACAGAGGAGAGTCATGGGCATGGCCTGTGAGGCCGGGGGGCTTCTGGATACAGAGTGAGGACATCACGGTGTGGGCTGGTGCGGCTGGAGGCCTGGATCGTGCAAGAGTGTTCTCAAACCTGACCGCACATTTCAAATCACTTGGAGGGCTTAAAAAATAAAAAGTAATGCCTGACTCCACCACAGACCAATGAGGTGGTGAGCCTGGACATCTGTATTTTAAAATTTGCCCTAATATTCCTCAGCCAGGGTTGAAAATGACTGATGTAGGGCCCTGAGGGCCATAGATGGGGTATTTGGATTTTAATGCAAATTAAAAAATGTTGGTATGTTTTAAGCTAGAGGCCAATATACTTTGATTTATAGATGGCTGTGTGACTTTGAGCAAGTGGCTTAATTGCTCTGTGCCTCAGTTTCCTCATCTAAAAAATGGGACTAATAATAGTATCAATTTCATAGAGATGTACGAATGAAATGGTGTTTGGACATGCGTAGGATGGTGCCTGGGCAGAGGAAGGGGGCTGCATGTGTTAGCCGTTGTAGTGCGGATAGTATTTTAACAGAGGGGCTCCACCTGCCTCCTGGAGAATATTTGGGGTGGAAGAGACAAGGCTGGCTGCTGCCGCAGGAGCCCAGGTGCAGTGCACTCCTGTGTGCCGGGTACTAGGGACATGGAGGCACAGGCCAGCATTCCCGCCCCTAGAGGCTCCAGGTGGAAAGGGGATGGGGGATGTGGCCTCGGGGGTTCCTGCCTGGACCAGGAGGGACAGGAGGTGGGGAGAGGCCAGGAAGGCTTGCTGGAGGGGGATGGCTCCAGAAGGGTGATCAGCAGTTATCCTTGTGGGCAAGGCACCCAGGCTGGGGAGCAGAGGGTGGAGGGCAGTCTGGCCAGGGAACAGAAGATGGGAAGTGCAGGGGAAGGGGAGCGCAGGACACGGTTTGTGAAGAATGCCTCCTTCCGTGTGTGCCTGGACTGCACGTCTGCTTGCTCAGTTCCTGTTTGAGGTAGGCAGGCAGGAGGGAGGGAGGCATGAGCCTGCCATTTCGGTTGGAGGGCTTCCCAAGTGGGGCACAAACGACTCCGCCTCTCTGTTCAGGTGTGGATCATGTGTGAAGGCCACTGCTTCAAGGTGGCTGTGGATGGTCAGCACCTGTTAGAATACAGCCACCGCCTCAAGAACCTGCCTGCCATCAATAACCTGGAGGTGACAGGTGATGTCCAGCTGACCAGTGTACAGACATAGGTGGGTTCACTGTCCCTGCCCCAGCCTTACCCAGCCTGCTGAGGATCTGGGGCTCTTCTGGAGAGAAAATGTCCTTGCGTGGCCTGATTCTAGCTGTAGTCAGCCTGGAGTGAAGGCAGCTGGTCGGGACTGCCTTCCTTAGGGTAATACCTGGGCTTGCAGCGGCCAAAATCCTCCCACCCGGGGAGAGGAGTGGTCTGTCAGACTGAAGCCCGGGGCCAGGCCTCTTGGCACAAAGGGAGGGTCCTTGTTCTTCCAAACCTCTTAGCCCAGGGCTACACCCTATGTGCTTCTCAACCACATTCCCATCCCTGCCATTTAATGCCACCTGGGTCCTAAGCCATCAGTTGTTCCCTAGGGAGGCCGTCTCCTTGGTCCCTCCCCTTTCTCCAACCCTTAACCTGTCCTGAGTCCTGCACCAACCCTTTCCCTGCTCCAGGAACGCTGCCCTGATGACACCCTGCTGCTCTCCACCGACTGGACCTTTCTTGGGGCGGCTGTCCCCTTTCCCAGCATCCTTCAAAGAAAAATGCTTGTTGGCACACATGCATGGAATGATTATGCTTATTATATGTATTTGGAGACATTTTGAAGTCCCTGGAATTGGAGAGGGCCTGGCTTATGGGTGTGGGAGGAGGGAGCCTGGGCTCCCCTTGGCCAGGGGCAGCCCCGACATCCACACCTGCTCCCAGTGGACCCCCACACACCCCACGAGGTTTAGAGGTGAAGCAGGCTGGGCTCAAGTCTCTTGGGCAGGAATCTCTGACACAGTAAGCGTGCAGCAAAGAAGAACCCAGGGAACAGCCCCACACTTGACATGAGCCAAGGGCTGGGCCAGAGCCTGGGAGGACCTCGGCAGGAGGTGCCAGGAGGCCAGAGGGCGTGTCCCAGCAGGAGGATGCGGCGGTAGGGTAAGACGCTGATTCGGAAGAGCCCTCGTGTTCCATGTGGGCACCCCAGGACTAGGGTGTGGTACGGAATGTGGCTCCATGTGCGGGGTTCTGCCAGCCTCTGGGCCAGTCAGGGGGGCCGGGCTCTGCATCCACATCCTAACTCCATCAAGAATCTGTTGCCTCGGGAACCAGGGTGGGGCTCACAGCATAGCCCTTGGTCCTGGGAGCTTATTAGAAATGCAAATTCTCAGGCCTTGCCACAGACCTCCTGGATGAGAGTCTGCATTGGAACAAGGGCCCAAGTGGTCTGCATGCACAGCAGAGTGCTAACCTAGGGGGCGCTGTTCCTGACCATGGTGTTCTGAAGAGGCACTGCTGGGCTGATGCCGGCTGGCATGGCCCTTGGTCTCCCCACCACCCCATCTGCGCAGCACAGGTGGAGGGGAGACACGGGCCAGGGAGCCGGCACAAGAGAGGCCTAACGCAAGCTGAGAGCTATTTTGCCACACCAGCTTATCCCCTGGATGAGTTCCTTGTTCTCAATGGGAGAAGGAAACATGGCTCATTCCCTTAAGAAGCACTTCCCTGAACCATGTCTATCTTTCACTCGCTGCCAAATCCTTGTCACCCAGGTGCCTAAGCATTATTGGCCAACCTCTCATGAAACAAGCAAGTAAAATACAGTGACTCTCTAAAACAGGCTGTGGACAAGGCCTTTGCTAAAGAACTGACACGTGCAGCTTCACCTCTCTGCCCAACGCCTGTGTGGATGCTTCCTGTGGGAGGCACAGCGCAGACCCTGCAGGCAAACCTGTGTCCCCTCGCTCCCATCATGCATTTCAGATGTGCCCAAAGCCCCACGTGCTGCCCCCGTACCTGGAAGCCATTTCGGAAGCAAGGATGAGCTGGTTTGTCCTTTGTGGGGAACTTTTGTCCAGGCTGTGACACCCACCAGTCCCAATTCTATATGTAAACTTAGCGCTGCTTTCCCTACAAAACAGCCACACGCACACCTACAATGTGGTTAAAATATAATGTATTTCACATAAATATCTCCATCAAGGAGTCATACAAGGAAGGCCCAATTGGCTCTAAGAAGCATTTGGGCTTGTTTTTTTAAATACAGAGACATAAATAACTGTACATGGAGGCCACTAAATACAGGGTGATGCGACAGCGCCCCCTGTTGGCTGCTCAAAGTGGTGCGATCAGAAGAAGGTTCACCAGGGGCCAGGCCTGGCATCGCAGGTTTAGTCTTCAAGGGATCAGGGAGGTCCCAACTCTCTATTATTTGGGGAGGGTGGGCTCAAGGGGCACAAGAGTTCCATTCAGTCTGGGCTGCTGCTTGGTAGCAGACTGAGTAAAGGGTTGAGGTGAGAGGAAGAGATAGGGAAATTAGATGAGAGGCTTGGGGATATAGTTCCCCTCCATCTCCTCTGGCCCTGGGGGCTTCAGATAATCGAAAGTTGACTCCATCATTAAATTCCGTGGCAGCAGCTTCAACTTTTCCTGTGGGCTGTTGGAGCTCTGGGCTCACTGGGATGCCCCACCCTTTTTCACCTCATAGGGAAATACAGCACCAAAGATGTCTTCATGGTAGCGCTTCTGGCTCTGTGAGAGAAAACGGAGCAGAGCGTGAGCTCTGCTGTCTAGCTGCATCACTCATCAGGGCAGGCCGAGGTCCTGCAGCTTCCCCATCACACAGACACCCGTGAACCGTTTGCCTTCCCAACTGTCATACTCAGATTATGCTTGGACCTCACTTAGGCTCTTTAACGCCCACCACCACCTGCTCTGGTGTGGACCCCCCAAAACATCTCCCCAAGCTTTATGATAGTAAAGGCTGTCTCAGGTTTGGCCTAGAAGATACACTAGGAAATGTGGACTCTGAGATAAACACATTTGGGAAATGCTGTGTACTGTCTCCCAGGCTTCAAGGTCAGGATACACAGTCGCATGTTAGAGGCTCTGAGAAGTCTTGTAGGAAAACAGCGCATTTGCCTTTGTGTAACTAAGCAACCAGACCCAGTGGTAGAGTCAGGCCTTCTGACAGCCCATCCAGCTCTGACCTCCAGCCCCCTCTCGGATTCCTCTGTTCTGAGCCTAACTGCCCTAGTCCTGGCTCCCTGGCCTGTGCCCTTGACCTGCACCCCTAGCCCACCAGCTGCCATACCTTAAGCTGGAAGAAATAGTCCTCGACCTGCTCCTCACTCAGGCTCAGCTTTGCAGCCACCAGCTGCTTCAGGGTTTGGGCCACATCCCGGGCCATACGCACATCCCCACAGACGTAGAGGTGGCCTTGCTCCTCGTGGAGCACGTGGAGCACCTCACTGGCCAGCTGCTGCCTCAGGATGTCCTGAACATACACCTGAAGCCAGAGGAGATAGTGGGTCAGGACCCTGCTGCTGGGGACAAAGCTTCCAGTCAGGCCCGGCCATGAAAAGGGGGGCATGATAGGCTGCAAGGCGTCCTCTCCCAGCCAGGCCTTGCACAAGGACTGGGCTCAACTTGAGGAGGGGCATTGGGTACCCGGCCAGCCCAGGAGAGATGAATGTTGGCCACAGCTCTGCCCTGAGGAGCTACCACTGGAGGACTTATGATTTACTCTGAATTCCCCATGCTTCAAAGAGGTATCAGTCAAGTCACTTCCCCCACCCAGGGCTCTGAGGGCCACCCGCCTACACCCCAGAAAAGGAAGCCTCTCAGTGCAGACTGTCCATGGGATCCACACGGTAGTTCCGAGTCAGGCACAGAGGCCCCGGGCTCCCCAGTTACACAGAAATCCAGGAGTCAACTGGGGACTTTGCTCTTACTCCACACAAGATGTCCCGTGACCAGAGCACTAGGTCTAGGAGGGGCCTTAATGGGACACCTTCACAGGAGATGAGCCACGAGTCTCTCCTGACTCCCAGGCTCATGGGGCAAAGTGCCCACCCTGCCCCCTCTGGAGAGCAGAGCCCATCAGCAGGCCATGTTGGGAGCAGCAGCCGATCACCTCTCCCTGGCAGCTGTGAACCCTGGGGGCGGATCTTTAGGCTGGGCACTGGGACTAACCCACTGTATGACCTTTAGTCCTGGACATCTCAGACCTGTCTCTTCTCTTGGAAGAGTGACCATAATAGTGTCGCAGCATTGTTTAGACGGCTGGGTAACTGCCTCCAGTTCAGAAATCATAGGTGGAGGCTCCAAGAGGCAGGGAGCTTAGGAGCCAGAGCACCCACCAGTCTGCCCCGCCAAGTACACGGGCAGCTGCCACATTTACCTTGGGCTGGCCAGGCAGGCGAGAATAGGCTGTGTGCACCTCATGCAGCACCCCATTCCGGGCCATCTCCAACATCTCCTCCTTATAGATGTGGTCCTCATCCGGGCGGCGGCACCCAAACACCAGCGTCAGGCGGCTGCCCTGAAGCCCTGCGAGACCCAGCAGCCTGCAGTTGCCACTACGGCCACCAGAGGGCGGCCGTGATCAAGGCCTGGGAGCCCCGAGACCAACCTGAATTCTCATTCTCCCAAGTACCCTGTCTAGTATTGTCCGCACTTTACAGATGAGGAAACTGAAGCCCAGGTCATTTGTCCACACAAGCTGAGGCAAACTTGGGAGCAGCACCAGGAAAAATATTGTGGGGTGGTGCAACAACGCCCCTGCAGCTCCAGATGTTCTCCCAGGTAGGTGATGCCCCTCCTCACCCACTGGGAACCCTCCAGCTGTACCTTTGTGCTGGACATCATGGAGTCGCTGCTGCCAGAAGCTGCGGAAGGGGGCGATGCCCGTGCCTGGCCCGATGAGGATGCAAGGATGGGAGGGGTCTTCCGGGAGCTGGAAGCCATTGGCACTGCAGGGACAGAAGAGAGGTCTGTGTCTTCAGACACCCTGGGATGGACGCACACACAGATGAGGACCACATCTATAAGGAGGAGATGTTGGAGATGGCCCGGAATGGGGTGCTGCATGAGGTGCACACAGCCTATTCTCACCTGCCTGGCCAGCCCAAGGAGCTAGGAGTGTTGGGGTGGGTCGTGTTGGAGGGGTGGAGAAGACAACACCTCAAATTTGACTTCCTAAGTTCTCAGGTTGCTTCATTTCCCCTATCCAGGCACATATCATTCCCCTCACTCTGGGTCCTTTTGAAAAAGAGCTTTACCACCACTTGGCCATGCTGTATAGCATGGGAATAGAATGGAGAGGCTCACTGTGACCCCAGTGTTGTCTTTATGGGCCAAGGGGCCCAGGTGGCACCCAAACCCCATATGCTTCCCTTTCAACCCAGAACTCCCAGGGGCCAGTGGTCATGGTCCCAGGATGGACAGACTGGAGGGGGTGTTTACCTTCGCACAAAGCAGGGCACTGGGTCTTGGGGCTTCAGGTTGTTGAGCCAAGTGCTGCAGACACCATGGTGCAGGGGACCCTGGCCATCTGCAAGGACAGCAAAGACCTGACCAACATCGCCCCTCCACCTGTGTAAGGACCATCCCTGCAGCTCCTCCTGCACTGATGCATCTCTGACTGTTGCTCACACAGGCCCTCTAGGCACTGATGAGGGCACTGTGTTTCTCCTGGTTCTGAGATCCACGCTGTAGCCTCCCCGGGCTGGTAAAAGTTGAAAGGGACTCGGAGAGGATGCAAACCTCTCCTCTTGCCACTGCAGAAACAAGCCTCAGAAAGGGCAAGTGACTTTACAGGTTACTCAGCTACCAGTAGAAAAGGGTCCCAGCTCAGCTTCTCCGACTCCCACGCCACTGTTCCCTCCAAGACTTTCCCCAGGGACCCTCCCAACTCACCATTCAGCTCCAATGACAGCCCAAAGTGGCCCCTCAGGGTGGCCACTGTCACTGCCCCTGGTAGGAACCCTGGGTGGTGGACAAACTCGTGTGCATTCTGGTCTGCGCTGACATCTGTCTTCCCCAGGGGCCCCTTCTCAGCTTGGGGAAACCCCAGCTTCCCTTCGGTTTTGCTTCCTTCCCAAGGGCCCAGCATTTGAGGGTCCTCCAACCAATCGAGAAGTCCCCCTGCTGTTCCTCTGGATGGAATCTTGCTCTCCCAGGATGCACCTGTCTCTCCTCCCCCCACCCCAGGACTGAGACTTGGCCTGTGCCAATGTTCTCTAGCAAAGCAAATTGAGAGTCTCTTCCCAGGGTTTAGAAACTGTGTGACCATGCTTCTTGGGGCACAGAAGGCCGTGGGGTGTGGGCCCGCTTCCCAGCTCTGCCAGCCCAGGCAGTGCTCAGCCACAGAGGGCCGGGCAGGGGCACATTCCGTGCAGGTGGACCTGGCTTGGATCTCCCAGTCTACAGTGATGCCTCCTCATCCTCTGCCCTCATAGAATCCTGCGCTTTCCCGTCTGAGCACCTGCATAACAACTGTCTATTCCTGTGTATCTGTCCCCACTGCCCCCTCTAGGTGAGAAGCTCCATGCCAGCAGGGGCCATATTATACTTCCACACCCACCACAGTGCCAAGGAGAGAGAGGTATGAAACAAATCATTGCTGAGTGAGTGAGTGAATGAATGTGACCAACCAAGGCAGAACCGTCCCTGTGTTCAGCCTGGACTGTCAGGAAGACTGATAATGAATGGGTTCCCACTAAGTGTGGGGTGATTTCCACATTGAGTCTCATTCAGTGGTCCTGATAGTAGAAAGTAGAGTGCAGTAGGGTGGTTAAGCATTGGGACCCAGCAGTCAGACTACGTGGGGTTGAATCTCAGTTCTCTACTTCGAACAAGTAGACTTGTTCAGTGTAACTTTGAAAAAGTGTCTTAAGCTCTTTGTGCCTGTTTCCCCACTTGGACTAAGCCCAGGAAGCATCTCCTGTGGTTCCCGATAGTACATGTACACAGGCGCTAGCTCGGGGCCTGGCTCATGGTAACCTCCCCCACGCGCCTCCTGGAGCTGCTGGGTCTGCAGCTGATGAGACAGGTTCATCATTAAGCAGCAGCCGGGCCGCTCTCAAGCCTCTGCGTCCCCCGTACCTCGGGTGCGGTACACGAGCACAGCCACGGTGAGGTGCACCTCCGACGGCGTGCGGTCCCTGGAGGAGCTGATGGAGTAGTACCGGGGCCGCAGGAGCGGGAGCTGCGAGAGCAGGAAGCTGGCAGGCACCTGCAGGGACGGGAACTGCTCCAGCAGCTCCGGGAACGTGGGGCTGTCGCTGAGCTTCCACCGGCTGTACTCCGAGGGCTGGATGCAAAGGGCGGTGTGAGTGGTTCAGGGGGCTCCGCATTAGATTTTAGAACAAAGCAAGAAAGCCTCAAGAGGTTAACTCACAGGCTGAAGGCCACGTGGCTCCTAAGTGATGGATCAGGAACTTGACCCATCAAAGCTCACCATCTCATTATTTTACTGATTCAGCTACCTGTCTGTCACTATGCCTAATAACCTGCTCATCCACACCACCCCTCCTCCAATACTCCTAAACTCTGGGCTTGTTCTGGGTTTGGGGGATACAAAGACAGGCAAGACACAGTAGCTCTCCTTTTCCAGCTGATTTCTGACAAAGTGCACTTCGGTTGCTTCCTGTAGATAGAAAAATTCAGCTCACTCAATGCGCCTGCGCCCTAGAGAAGGGGTGGGAGAGGATGCCCGACTTCCCACCAGCCTCTGGCAGGTCTCACCTCAGGAAGATGGGGCAGATCCCCTTGGAGGTGAACGAGCAGCCCTGGGCTCTAGCTACCCCCAGGCCTGGGGCCCGCCCCTGCCTCACCACCAGCCCCGATCTTCACCTGGCACAGGGTCTCCAGCCTCTGCTTCTCCGCCTCCTCGGTGGCCAGCTGGGCCAGCTTTCGGAGCAGCAGCTGGGTTGGCGGGGTGGTGATGTCCAGGAAGTAGGTGAGGGCCTGGCTGAGTGAGCAGGGGGGCAGCCGCTTGTCCCCCACCCAGTATCTGCCTGGATAGGGAAGGGAGGAGTCAGCATAGAAACACGGCCCCATTTAGTTTCCCAAAAGGTGATGAGACCTTTGGGGCTGACACCCTCCACCCTCCAGCTGTAGGGGAGAGAAGACACTGAAGTTCTGGCTTCAGGAACAGCAAAAGGACTCATGTGCCCAACTCATGTACAGGAAGGAGGTACTCAGAGATAAGGCTGCCAGGGAAGGCTGATCAACAGCTCTCCAAAGGCATGTAAGTGGACACTGTCCTACAAAACTAACTGTGCACCAGAGTAAGTCCCTTTCTGGCCCAGACCTGAAGTTTAGCAAAACACCCCCAGGTGAATGACAGTGACAGTGACTAAACCCACCCAAGACTGATGTACACACCAGATGCCTGTTGCTCATTTAGAGAAAAGCCCATGACTGCAGTCCCCTGGGGTGCTCTACCAAGAGTGGCTGGGCGAGCAGCACATCAGCCCAGAGTGCGGTAGGAAGTCTCAGGGAGCCCCGGGAGGCCGCACGCAGGGCAGTCACAGTGTGGACGCTGGGCCGGTGGGCCTGGGCTCAAGCTCTGGCTCCCCACTTCCCATCTGGGTGACCGAACGCTCTGAGCATCAGGTTCTATCTCTGTGAAATGCATGTGATAACAAAGCTGGCTTGCTGGGTTTGTAAGAGCACTGAATGAAATGGTGCATGTGTAATAGCTGGTACAGCGTCTAGTACACAGGTGCTCCACAAATATTAGCTGAAACATTAGTATTACATTTGTTCATCTGAACCCAAGGCCTGACCAACACCATCTGTCTCTCTACAATCACAAGGACCTCTCTGTCTCCCTCATCCCCAAGTTTTAGCCTCGCTCGTGTTCCCCTGGACAGAGGGGCACAAAGCCACTTTGCTTCTCTGATCCCCACTTTCCTGTTTGGGTCTCTCCTTTAAGGGGTATGCACTCTTTGGAGGCATCACTGTCACAGGGCGCTAAGGTTGGGGGCTATTCCTGTGGGCTGCGAGGCCAGATGTGTTGACTCCTTATGTTACCTCTCCTATGCCTGTCACCCTGTATTGTGTGGCCATGCTCGGCATGAAGACTGAGAGCCTCACCTTAGCACAGGAAGGGATGGCTCTGAACCCTTCCTAGGGCAGGTCTCCCTGGTGAGGATGGCCAGGAGGAGCCACACTGCCTGGTCCCCCACTGCCTGCCCCTGCCCATTGCCCAGGGAAGGTGGGGAGTGAGACCCTCAGTGGAAAAGCAGTATGAAATTCAGATGCGTGAAAATGCAAGAAGGTTAGACATTTTGGGACCCAAGGAAGCTCCCGGGGCATAGTCACCCCTTCTCTGACCTTCTAGACAAATGTTCACTAGCCTGTGGGAAATGGACATGGCTCCACTCCTGCATTTATTTGGTGCCAGGAATTGTGGTGAAGGTTGCGCATGCACCTACTCATTTGTTCTTCACAGCAACCCTACAAGGCTCAGTTATGTCTATTTTAGAGACAAAGAAATAAGTCCTTGAGACACTAACTCATATGGCCAAGGCTACACAGCTAGTAAGCGATGGATCAGGGACTTGAACCTTCAAAGCTCACCAGCTTTACATTGTTTACACATTTCTCTGTTCTGTCTATGAGCAAGCTGCACAAGGTCCGTTGTGGGAAGGAAAGAGGCAGTGTCTGGCAAATGCTGGCACACAGTCATGCCCCACCAAATGCTAGCTGCTGCTCTTGGTAGATAATTATTACTCTCATGAACACTCTCATACATCTGCCTCCTGTACTAGGTAGTGAGCTTTCTGAGGCAGACACTGAGTCTCATTCATTTTTGTAGCCCAGGGCCTGCCTGATATATAAATACAAGTTAAAATATCGATGGAAAAATAAATCATTTTTTTGTTGGCTAGGCGAGCAACAGAAAAATGAAAGGAAAGCCTGTGCGGCCTCTGGTGCTGGGTAGGGTCTCCAGGAGGCACCCCTCCTTGTTAGCCTGCCAGCCAGCCAAGGACTGCTTGCCAGGCTGCTTGCGCCCTGGCGTGGGCGGTCCACCCACCCAGCAGGCCGGGACAGGATTAGCTGCTGCAGGCTGAGCCCAGCAGCCAGGCTGGCAGATGAGCAGGAGGATGCTGGGTTGCCCCAGGCATGGGCATGCGGCTCACCGTTCTCGCCCAGGGTCTCCAGGCGCACAGGTTGGTGGGGTGCAGGGCCATCCAGCACTCTCCCCAGGACGGCTTGGACCAGGGCCGGCTGGTTGCCTGGGAAAACCCCGAGGTGCTCTCCAGGCAGGTAGCTCAGACCTTGGCTGCCCTCACAGGAGAGTTTCACCAGGAGGGTGGTACGGCTGGAGAAGGGAAAAAGAAGCCTTTGGTGACGCCACCAGGATTTCCTCTAGAGCTCCCTAGCGGATGGGCCGATTTCCCCAGGAAACGTGCCCTCCTCTCATTTTCCTGCCTGGTTCCATGAGCTTGGGGCGCTGGTGTCCCCTGGGGCTGACCAGGCCTGTGGCTTCTCTATGGGGAAAGCGAGGGCCACACCCCTCCCTGTGCAGCCGTCCTGAGCCCACGAGGGCCAAACCACAGACTCTGCCTGAAGAGAGACGCCTTCTGGGAGATATGTGAGCTTTGGGACAAGCCTTTCCTTGTCTCCAGCACTAGTCTGGTTTCTGTTAGAGTAAAGCCCGTTTTCCTAATGAATGGTTGTGGGTGAAACAGATAAGTGAAACCCATGGGAATCCACACACTCGCTTACCCTTCCCCCAAAAAATGTCCTTCCCCAAAAAAATTTCTCCTGAAAGTTCTCAAGAAAGAGCCAAGTGATGTGAATGTCTCTTGCCCTCCTGGTTTGGTGAGAGAGCAAAGTGATAGGGAGGGAGCAGGTGCCTAGTTCCCAAGCTCGGAAACTGGCGCATGGTTAATGGACACCAGACTTAAAGGTCATGCTGGTCCTGCCGATGGGTCACTGCTAATGCCAGCAGATACTTCACTCCTCACAGACGCATTTACCCTGGTCTTTCCTTCATTAAAATAAAATCTGTGGGAAATCACACAGGAAGCCCTGTATTCTCCCCTACCTGGATTTTGGACTCTGTAGATTCTGCCTCGACTTGAGCCTCAAGGTGAACACCGTCTTGGCATGCATGCTGCCGAGGGCTGTAGAGACAGAGAAATGGCAAAATGGCCAAGTAGCCCTTCAGTGCGGCGGAGGCAGGCTCTACGTGTCTGAGTCAATTCCACCCAGGCGCCACCAGGGCACCCCGCTGTGGTGGTGCTGGGGTTTCCTTCCTTCTTTCCTACTGTGTCTGAATCACAAGACTGTTGGTCTGACAGAGGCTGGTTGTCCTGTTGCTAGAGGTTGGAAATGCAAGGTAGATGCCCAGATATACAGATTTCTAGGACATCCCCTGACTCAGGATCTGCAGGTGAGCACGGCTGAAGTTGGGAACGTCCTAAACGTTCAGGACCTGAAGATGCCTTCAGGACTGCAGTACTCGTGGTACAGGATGGAGGCCCCGCATCCAGAGAGCGCTGTGGAGCGCTCACGGCCGGCAGTCTGCAACTGCCTCTGCAAAGTGTTCTTTACCGGGCTGCCATTGGAGCTGGATGGCTTGTTGGGGGCCGGTGGGGAGAGCCCCGCACAGTGCCAGGACCACAGGGGGCCCTCAGTTGGCACTGGCTACCTTTCCACTCCCCACCACCCTCCCAGGGCTTCCTCCTGAAACAGCCTCCCTCAGACAGTGCAGGACCTCGAGTCTCACACCCCCACAGGCTCTTGGAGAGAAATTTCTGGCAGCCCTAGGCCAGCGGCCTCTTCAGAGGGTCCCGTGGGGTCCTCGCTAACAGGTTCAGGGCTGAGAGATTCCACCCCATCAGGAAGGGCCAACAAGCCCGTGGGGTGCAGGGGGACAGCCACCTTTGTTGAGGTCCAAAGGCTGTGAGTCCTGCACGAGCCTGTAGTGGTGCGGGTCCCAGGTCACATCGGAGGTGTAGAGCTTGGGGATCTGGATGCAGTGTCTGCCTTGGACACTGAACGTCTCACAGGCTGCCTGGAAGAGGATGAGCCAACCGGTGTTAATAATCAGCATTGGCATGAGACCACCACCACTGGGGCCATTTTCAGGGCCATTTTCAGGGTCCTTAGGACTGAGCTAAGTGCTCATCTGACTGGCTGTTGTGAGGACTTAACAAAGCTGCCAGGCTTGGCGCACAGCAGCTGTTGCTATTATTATGACGATTAAGATCGACACTATCTCATCGGTATGCCCACGCCATGAGATAGGTTTGATTACGCCCATTTTCCTGATGTGGAATCATGAGGAGGAAGCCTGGGCTTGGGAACCATGTCTGCCCCTAACCCAGCTGGTCCTCCTATGCACCACTATGGGGTGAAATGCATTGCTTAAATGAGGAGTTCTCTAAATCAGTGAAATCAAGCCACAGGAGATAAAGACCTACAGAGATACTGACACAGGCCCAAAGAACTTAACTGCACGGTCCCTGTGCCCAAGCTCTCTGAGGCTGGGAGACTAAAACATTTTTGTAGGGGGTGACCTGGATAATCAGAGGGGACAAGATCTTAAACCGAAGCACCCAGAGGGCAGGGAGGTGTCTGAGCCACTTTTTCCCATGCAGGGGACACACGCTTGAAGTGGAGCTCCAGGGGCTGAGCGAGAGCAGCAATGACCCAAGCCCTCAGGCCCATGTCTGGGACCATGCCTGCAGGACAGGGCAGGGGACGTGCCACCAGGATGCTTGGCCCAGATGTCTGGGGCACGAACGCCCCGCCGTGTCCCTTCCCACGCTGTGGGGCAGCCCCAACCGTGAACTGACCTTGAAGGTTTGCACAGCCCAGCTGCGGAAGGCCTCCTCCTGCCCACTGAGCTCATCCCCTTCCCCTGTCAGGGTGAGCTGGGAGGCACCCAGCTGGGACAGCTTCTGGTCAATGTCATGAGCAAAGGCGCAGAACTGAGGGTACATGCTGGAGCCGAGCCCAAACACAGCATACCTGCCCAAGGAAGAAACGCACATAGGGACGGAGTGAGGCCCCCCAAGCAGGCATCGCCCAGCACCCCCAGCCTCGGACACTCCCGCGCCAGCCGGGCACACAATCCGCCAGCACAGCGCTCGCCCCCTCCATGTCCTCCCTGGCTCTGAGCCTTGACACCAACTCCCAGGACCAAACCTACACTGGGTGGGCAGACCTGTGACAGGGACTTGGTGTCCCCCACTCGGCCCCCAACGCACTCTGAGCTCAGGCTCTCTCTGTGCCTGGACGTCCCAGGGAAGACCCAGTACCAGCCCGGAACCCAGCCTCTGGGCCCAGAAGGCAGGGCTCGGACAAGCGGGAGTGGAGGAAAGCCTCACCTGAACTTGTTAGTGAGCTCCTTCAGCACGAAGAGGGATTTCTTCAGTTTCTAGAAAGATAGAACCACAGAGTTCTCAGGATAGGATTGATGAAAGCACTGCTTTTCATCCACTTCTGGTGGCCCACTAAAGAACTGGCCACCCTGGCAGAAGGCTCAAGAGCCACAAGTGGAAGTTGGTTTATGGGGGAGCCGGCTCCGGGGCCCAGGGACAACTCCTGCAGGCCCGGCCCTTGGTGGGCAACCCCGACCGCCCAGCCCCTAGTCCACCCAGCTCTGGTAGAGGGGGCCTGCCTTGGAGCAGGACACCTCCAGAGGCTCTCCTAACATGGGGTCAGCCTGTCTTCCTATCTGGAACCTGGTAAGAGTGACACGGATCCCTTGGTCTCTGACTTCCCAGCAACTCCAGATTATTTCAGATGGTCCAGACCCAGTGGAAATACTGTCGAATCCCATGGTAAGAAAGTATTCTCTTTTCTGTAATTCTTTTCAGGTTATTCCTGTTTCGATTGTTACTTTTTGTCCTTCTGAACACTAGGGAGAAAGTCTCAGATTGGTGCTAATGGAGCCTTAATATATCTCTAATACCTGCTTATTACTCTTTTTAAAAAACCAGGCATGGTTAGACAATCGTGTCTAGCCAAAATTCAGTAACTTTGGCTTTCATTGGATTTATTTTTTGCTGGCTTCTCATTTGTGAGAGAGATAGAAGTGTTCTTTAAACATAAAGTTTTGAACTTAAAAAGGCAGGTCAAGCCACTGACATATAGTAAGAATGTCACAGGAAAGGCGGCGTACCCACGCGGCAGTAATCACAAAGGAGGCCAGCAAATGGCTGACGTCAGGGCAATCCAGAGTGATCCGAGCGCTCACTCCTCCTTCGGACACCCTGAACCCCCAGATCCTCTTCCTGGTCTCCTCAGGCCCTCCATCCCTGGGACCACTGGGACCTGGGCCACCCACCTCGCCATTGCCGGGGGAGTCTCCATTCCCAAACGTGCTGGTCACCACGAGCAGAAGCTGCTCCTCCTCCAGGTTGCTCAGCCTGTACTCATCCATGCAGAGAACCTGCATGGCACCCAGAGCGGACATCAGCCCTCGGTTCCCAAGCTGGAGCCCCCCACACCCTCCCCAGACACCCTGTGCTTCCCTCCCCCACCCAGGCCTGGAGCCCCCTTTATTATCTCTGAACACCCCTCCCCGCCCCAGCACAGGCAGGTGCAGAGGAGGTAAGTGCTCAACAAGTCCTGTCAAATGAACCTACTGAACAATCCTCCTCGATTCTCCTCCCCGCCTCAAGGCCCCCCAGGAGCCCAGATGGCCTGCCTCCAAAATACTGCATGTCCCAATCCAAGCACTTCCCACCACTTCCACTGCTAGTTGGAGTGTGTGGACATACTTTCCACAAACAAGGGATGAGTGGGTTACAAAAATGATCACTCCTTTGGTGGCTCAGGGACCCGAACCCTTTGCCCAAGGCTAACCTCAGTGGAATGTGTCGCTGCCTCGCTCTCTACCCAGGCCTGCTGGCTCCGGAGGCCTACAGCCATGAAGGAGAGAATCCAGCACTGCTGGAATGCATGGCTCACCCCCGGGGCTCTGACTTACTTGTCTGCATCTTATTCCTCCTCTGCCCTCTTCACATGTAGCCCTACACCCTCATAGGAGGCATTCAGTAAATGTGAATAAAATTCATCTAGGGCAGCTCGTGTACACTGAGACTTGGACTCACTAGGAAAGTGTTTCTCAAACTGCATCCCCTTGGAACACTATGAAAAACTTACTGTGTGAGTTTGGGAACCCCTGGACACAAATCTACCCTTCCACCTCAGATTTACAATGTGCTCTGGGACATGTGGGAGCAGAGCGGTCATCTAACTCGTCTCAGGCCTCTCCTCAGATGGCAGAGGGAGCAGCATGTGCCCCACCGAGCTGCCTACCTTGGGGTTGAAGGCGCAGCTGAACAGGTTCCCTAGGTCCCGGGCCAGGGTTTCTGATTTTCCCGTCTCGGTGGCAAAGAGGATGGTGGCTCTCACTCGGGACGCCATGGTCTTGCGCATCAGCACTGAGGTGAAAAGCACGGCTCTGTGGGGACAGACAGACCCTGAGCGCTGAGTGGGCCATGCAGGGGAAGACGGGGTCCCAGGGGAATGGGAAGGGGACAGCGTTTAAAGTGGGGCAGGTCGAGGAGAAAGAGCCCATGTTTCACACGGCTGTCAACCCCGACTCTCCACCCTGGTCCTTCCCCGCCCACTCAAGTGGCTACTCAATGCCTTTGGGAAAACAGAGGGGAGGGAAGGTCGGGGCAGTGGTAGCAGGGGACACTCAGGATCGGTGTCCAGACTCTGGGGGCCAAACTCCATAAAGATTCTCTTTCCTCTCTGTTCCTGCCCTTCCAGGCCTAGAAAGCAGGCTGATTAGAAGGAAGGGCTGCAGTTCAGATGTCAACACCGGCCGCGCCCACGTACTTAACCAAGACTTTGAATTGAATCTCTCTTTTCCAGGGTCTCAGCTTCTCATCCTTCCAGATGTGGGTTTTCCAGGCCTCCACCTGTAGAAAAGAAGACAGATCTGAGGGCAAGTAGGACCTGGCTTGGCTTGGGCTTGGGGATGCAGGAGAGACAGAGAACCCTCCATGTCTTTAGTGAGCTGGGGGGTGAGAGGCCCCGTCCCAGCCCTGCTCACTGGAAGCCCTGCAGAGAGGGCTGCACCTGTCTATCTCTTCCTCAGAGCTGTAGCTCCAGGATCCAGCATGGCACCTGCAGATAGCCAGCTGGTTTTATTCCCATCAGTGTCCCTCAGGAAGGGAGAGGCCCCACTTCTCTTCTAGCTTATCACCTGGAAGACTATATAATGTATAGTCCAAATTGGGATACCATTGAAAGTAAAAAGAGGTGTTGTGATGATAGGTATAAATTGTCCCAGGCCATAAGTCACCCTACTTACCACCTTTAGAGTAAGGAAGCTCTTCCCCAAATCTAACCAAAGTCGTTTTTGACAAAAAGTGAACTCATTTCAATAGGTAATGTTTCCTGAGTGCATTCTGTGCTGGGCACTGGCTGAACTGTTCCATGCACCAACTCATGTAAGCAATACAACCTCCTATCATGGAATTAATGTCCCTCCCTTTCAGAGATGAGAACACCAGGGCTCAGGTGGCTGAAATGACCCACCCAAGATAATACAGCTAGCAAGTGACAGAATCATCCCCGGGTGTGTCTGACCCAGGAGCCAAGCTCTTCACTGTTACACTGTGTAACTGTTTACAGCCTCCCACGTAGGCAGGTGTGATGCTGGTCACGGTCAGGAGCTTAAACCCCTTCAGTCCTACTCTCTGGGGAAAGGGACAGTAGCTGCTCGGCATCCCTGAGTGAAGCCTGACATCATTAAAGATATGTCTCTGTGTCCCCGATCCTCCCCCACATGTCCTACATGAGTGAGCAAGCACATGCACACACGTGTATACACACACACATGAGTCACATGCAAACATATGCTCTTTCCATCCCTGAGCTCCCAAGACAGAGAGGGGAGGAAGGCCCTCCCTTACCTGGTAGTAATAGAAAGGGGACAGGACATAGTTTAACATCTCCTGATGGAACACAGGGGTGATGCTGCCAGAAATCGGGGGGACCAGCCAAACCCAGTCAGCTGGGCAGCCCCCCCGGGACCGGTACTCATTCTGCATGTACTTCATGAAGGACTCTGCGGCTGAGTGGTGGTCCATGATGGTCACATTTTGCTTCTGTATCAGAAAGAGGCAAGATGGGAGTTGAAACAAGGGATGGGGTAATCAGGAGATAATTGACTGCAGGGTTCCCGGATGACTATGGGGAGGCCTGGCAATCTACAAAATGGGACAGTAATTCCTCCTGCTCCCCACCCTGAACACTGCTGAAAATAAATATTCAAATGAAAGGCACTTTCAGAGCCTCTGAAGGAGCCCAAGAAACCGCCATAAAGCCACAGTCAGCCCACTGGGGGCAGAGTCCAGCTTCTCAGCCATGCCCACGAGTCTCCCCAAACTCCCAACAAATGGTGCACTCTGGGAGCTGAAAGTCTAATCGCAGTGCCTTTGTGCCACTTGTTGGCAGAGTTGGTGTGTGCGTGCATACAGTCCTGGAAAGGAGCCGCTTCTCCCAAGGACGTGGCCCTCCCAGCCAAGAAGGGGCCGGACACGCTGAGGAAGGCTGAAGCCCCGTGGGAGCTGCAGCACACGGAAGACCCTCCCACAGTGAGCCGCATCCTAAAATTGGAAGCCAAGGGGGTCTGAGCCTTCCTGGGATGACCTGCAATGGCAACCCCACCCCTCAATGCCTGGGGCAACTCAGTCAGTTAAGTGACTTCTGTTTAATGTAGCGGTTCATACCTTGGCCTCATACCTGCGACCTTAACCTCACTGAACCTCAGTTTCCTCATCTCTAAAATGGGGACCCTAACAGTTTCTATATCATGTTGTTGTTGGAAGGATACAATACATTAATACAAGCAAAGCATAGAATGTGCTCAATAAATGTTAGCTACTATTATTATTTCGATCTGCCAGGCATTGTATAAGGCACAGGCATTATAGAAATGATGAAAGATGGGGCCTTTTCCCTACATGACATCACATTCTAACTACAGGAGGCAGAAGCCAGTCTGCTATTTCATGTGGTCTGATAGAAGTTAGCCCATGGTGGGGGTGAGTGTGGGTGCTGATGGGGGTGCAGGAGAGATGAGGGATTTCAGAGGTGGCTTCTATGAGGAGGTGGGTCTTGAGAGATGGGGACAAGTTAGGCAGGGGATGGGCACTCATGGAGGAGACTCTGCATCAGTCAAGGTCAGGAGAGGAACCCGCTAACGGAGAGCCCAGAAGGCCCAGTTACATCTTCTAGAATCAACGTATGCATGTAGCAGCCAGACCAGTTTTAAGCTCCAGGGCTGATGATGATAGCTGTGATAATGATGGCAAAAATAATAAATAGAAATAACAGCAAAACTAATCCTTACTGAATGGTCACTTTGAGCCAGGCAGGGCACCTAAACATTTTACATGTATGTTCATTTAATTTACAATAACCTAGTGAAGGAGGTACTATGATTATCTCCGTTCTACAGATGAGGAAACAGAGCCAAGTCTTCTAAAGTTTATCCTGAAGGAGGGACACAAGGAAGTCCTGGAGATGCTCAGGCACTAGAGGGATGTGGTCAGCAGTGGTCAGGAGACGGCTGAGGATCAGCAGATTTTCTGGGACATATCTACATCCTGCCACGGTCAGGGTTGATGCTGGGAGTCCCCAGGAGTCAGGATGTGTGGTCCATGGCCGGCCGGCCTTCCGGAGCGAGGCCGGCCCCAGGGGCTCTTCCTGTGCCTCCAGTCAAGCACTAGCCTGACCTGCCTATGGGGTGACCAGCCCCTGGGAACAGTACGTGATCATATATATTTACTGGGTAATCGTTTAATGTCAGTAACCCACACCATCCCACAAGGACAGGGTTTTTGTCTGTTTTGTTCACCATCCAAATCCTTGGCCCAGCCTACTGTGTGGCACCTGGAAAATGTTCAGTAAAACTTACTGAATGAATGAATGAATGAATGAATGAATGAATGGATGGATGGATGAATGAATGACTCTCTGCCCAGGGGTGTAGCCTCCAGGGCATCTGCCAGATTTGTAGAGATGGTCTTAGCTTCTAAAGTAATATCTTTATGCCCACTCCTCCTTCCCAAAAGGAAGGAGGGTGCTTATATGAGTAAGAGCAGCAGACAGACAGAGGGCTCAGTCCCCCACAGGAACGACCTGCTGTGTTTGGGCCCAGGGGCTGGCCATTTGCTCCATGTAGGGAAGCAAGAGCAGCCACTGTTCATGTGGACATGGACTCTCATTCATTTATTCAATACAGATTCTTTTTTAGATCTACTATGTGCCAGACACTCGTCTAGACTCTAGATGGACAGCAGTAGACAAGACAGCCAGGCCCCTGCCCTGTGGAGCTTACATCTTAGTGGGAAGAACAAAGAGAGAAGTCGATGTACTATGTCATATTAGGAGCTGATAGGCATTATGAAGAAAAAGGCAGAACTAAAGGACTAAGAGACAGGAGGGAGGTGGAGTGAGAGTGCTGTTTTACATGGTGTGGTCAGGAGGGCTACCCTGAGGAGGTGACAGTCAAGACCTGGATGAAAGGAAGGAGCCAGTCATGGGGTGATTTGTGGGAAGAGTGTTCTAGGCTGAGGAAAAGCCAGTGCCCAAGCCTGAGGTGGGAACCATCTTGGTGAGTTTGAAAAACAGCAAGAATTCCAGGATAACTGGAAGATTGGAGGAGAAAGGCCAGACCGGAGCAGCTGGGGGATGAGGAAGAATAATGAGCTCCTTGACAGGCTTTGCTGTCCAGAGCTTAAAACAAGGTCATAGCTGGGCATCTGTGGTTAGCTAGTCATCATTTCTTTGAGGTAGGAACCACTGCAGCCTACTGATCATTGGCAGGCATGTTCCAGCAGAGAGGGAGACATGGGTGACACGGAAGAGAGGGTGGGGATTTCCAGGAGTAGAGCACTGGATGAACTGAGAGAGGACAGGGTCAAGTGCTCAAGTGCCGGGAGGGAAGGGGCTGCCTGCTGCTAGAAGCATTCAAGTTTACACTAGAAACCTAGAGTGACTATGAGGGCTTATTTGTCTCTGCCTCCCCAGCACCTAGCACAGTGCCTGGCACAAACTGGCTATTTAATGCTTGTCAGATGTATGAATAAATGAACAATGCTCTGAGGGGAAAATCACACACGAGATTAACAGCTGGACCAGATGAGCTTCTAAGCAGAAAGTCTTCAGACCCACAAGACACAAAACATACCTGAAAACTGTGAAGCACAGCGACATTAATCTCAATGACAGCCCGGTCTTTCCAGAGTGACGCCAGTTTGTACGTGTCCAGGCCCATCCTTCTACCCACTTCCTGCAGAGGCAGAGAAATGGGGGTGAGTCAGTCCTTGGGACCCCGTCCACAGGCTCACACCTCCAGCTGGCCAGCTGGGTGGTCCTCATTACCTCCAAGATGTTGTAGCGCTGGACATCACAGAAGTCCCGGACCCCGATCTCCGTGCCCATGTACCAGCCATTGAAGGGGCACCCTGGAAACTCAAGGCCACCCGCCTCGAGCAGCATGTTGGCCACGGCAGGCAGGGCATACCACTTCAGCTCCAGCTCCTGGAACCACTCGTACCTGGCACAGAGGCAGAGCCAGGGGCAGCTGGGGCCTGCACTTTTGCCCACCCTTACCCCCCAGAAAGAAGCTTCAGAGAAAGTTAAACTAAGAAAACTCCTTTCCAAAGTGTTGATCTGTAAGTTCATCCCACCTGGAGGGTTGAACTGGGCCCACTAGATATCATTCATTAATTAGGCATTCATTCATGTAGACACATATAAGCATCAAGTATGTGATAGACCCTTGCTAAATGCTGAGAACCCAAAAGAACAGTGTAAGAAAGCCTATGTTTAAGTTCTGCCTTACTACTTCCAAGGTGTGTGACCAGGGGATGTGTTTTAGACTCTCTGAGCCTCAGTATCCCCACCAGCAAAAGAGAGATACTAGCACCAAACTCATGGGATTGTGAAGATAACAGTATCATCCATTTGCATATTAATTTATTTCAAGAATATTTAAAACTGAGCACCAATTATAGACCAGGCACCCTGCTAGGTGTGCGGGATATACAGCTGAATCAGAAAGGCAAGATCCCTATTCGCATGGCACTTAAAGTCCGAAGTCTAAACAGGTAAACAAACAAGAAAATAAAAACAAGGTGATGTGTTAGAGATTGAGGGTGACTGCTGTAGACTGGGTGTTCAGCAGAGGCTTCTCAGTGGGGCAACATTCGAGAAATACTTCACTGACAAGAAGAAATGAACCCTACAAAATTCTGAGGAAAGGGCATGTCAGGCAGAGGGAACGGCAAGTGCAAAGGCCCTAAGGTAAGACTGAAATTAGTAAATTCAAAGGACAAAAGAAGAGCCCAGCTCAATGCCTGATGCATAGGATATATGGAGGTATTTTTGTACCCCATATACCATTAATATATGGAGGTATTTTTGTAATTATGAGAGTTGCCTGGAGCAGGGACTGAACCAGATGAGCTACTGAAATCACCATGGCCCTATAGTTTCACCAGAAGAGTGACAGCTAAGATTATTGGCAGGAAAGCGAAAGAGGCCTGCACTGCTCAGTGTGAGAATCTCACAGCCTTTCAAGGGTTCCTTTCCCAAAGTCACTGCTTCCCAAATACCTAGGACCCATCTGTCCAAGCCTGTGCTTCACCCCCATCCTCACAAACCCTCATAAATCTGAGGCCCAAGACACTGGTGCAGAGGTGCTAAGCAAGGGTGACAATGGGGACCTTGAAAGTTAGCTCTCTGGGCATCACCTGCTGCTGCTGGGCCTCGGGGAAGGGGTGTGAGGGGCCTGAGGGTTGAGGTCCTACTTAGAGAAAGAGAGGGGCATGCATGTTAACTCATGCCCCCAGCATTCTCAGCCTGCTTACTTGGGATGGTCCATGGGCACCTCAAGCACGAGGTCAGGTGGGATCTCGAAGAGCTCAGGGTCACGGCCATCAGCCTGAAGGACCAGAGGCACCACATCAAAGCGACCATACTTGGGCTTCCAACCCAGGTCGATGCACAGCTGGGGGCAAGAGAGTCCCAGTGAGTCTTCAGATCCAGACCCCTTCACCCTACTGGGCTCCATCCCACCACCCAGCTAGGCTGGATCTGGTACCTGGGTGAACTCCACCGAGGCAGGGTCCCCTCTGATGGTGCCGTCAGGCATCTGGTAGCCAGCATACCGGATAAGCTGAGCATTCCAGACCCGGAAGTCGTGTTTCCCATCACTCCGCTGGGGGAACACTGTGATAGCCGACCTTCCCCAAGACAAGGACAATGCTGTTTACCACCTGGTTTTGGTGGGGTCTCCCGGCCATCCCGACTGGTTGTCCTCCCCAATCCCATCTTCCTACTCCCCACCCTCCTCACCCAAGCTAACTGAACCAAATGCTTGCAGCTCCCCAACATGCCAAGCTTTTGCTGGCCTGTGTCCCCTGCCCCACTTCCTAACATGCCCTCTCCCTCCTTCCCCTCCCTCCAGCCCTACCCTTCCTTCAAGGCCAGCATGGGGACCGCCCCCTCCAGGGAGCCCTCCCCATTCCTCCGGCAGCATTAGCTGCATATTTCTTTTGGCAGCCGTGGCACTTGGGTGCTCGACTAGTGCGAGCTGTAGGTTCAGAGCAGCACCTTAGGGTCTTGGTCACCTCTCTACCCTTCTACCCCACTCCAGTGTAGTGCTGTGCTGGATCACCCTGCATAGGCACTGAGTATTTGCTGAGCAGAAAAATGAATGATTGAACGCTCAGTGCTATCAGCCTGGATCTCTTTGGGTAGGGGTAGGGAAAGGTATGGCAAGCGATGGGTTCCAATGAGCCATGACCTTCCCACCTCTACGAAAACTACAGCAGGGGACCACCTGCTGCAAAACCAACATCTCATCCTCTCTAAAATGCAGGAGGCCCTAACCCATAACAGTCAAGAAGCTGCTTCTTAAAGATCCCCCACCCATTCCCTCCACACAGTTCCAAGTCAATGCATCTGCATCTTTTGGCAAAGACTCAGGGGCAGGGCCCCACCCACCTGATGTTGCCGCTGTTGGTAGCGTACCGCAGGTGCCTGCAGATGTGCTCAAACATTTCCTGGGCAGTGGAACAGCTCCGGGCATCGAAGACCTGCATACAGCACCCCCAGACCACACCCATCAAGGACGGGGAGGACAGAAGCCTCGGGGTAGATCAGAAGCTGAGTCCTAAGGGACCGAGGGAGTGGCCTGAATGCCCCCCACCAAAACACCACACCAAGGAGTGCGCTCTCCTCTCTGCACCAACACTGCACGACTGCCCGTCTGTCCTTTCTCCCACTCTCCTAGAGGAGCCCAGTCCACCCCACTGGGAAGACCCTATGAGAACCCAAATCCCAAGAAAATCTGATGTTCAAACACCATGAATCAGGATTCCCACAGGCCCAGCCTAGTTCCTTTACAACATGAGCACTTTTCACACAGGCCTCCAGCACATTCTATTCCAGCCAGAGCTGGTTTCACCAGCATTTCTCATGGATTTCTCTGTCCAAGTGCTTTCGATTTTATCCAGCTGTAAATGATACCCCATGTAAAGATGGCCTAGGAGGCCAGGATAAAGAGTTTTCTAGGAGTAAGAACTGAAGCAGTTGAGGTAAACAACCCCTCTTGCGGCACCAGGGCCTCAACAATAACAAGGTCGTTTGGTTTTACATTGGCTTTTTGTCCCCCAAATTTAATACAAGAGGGAAAGATCAGCTGGAAATGCTGGTGCTGAAATCAGATTCTAGATTTCTAGAGGGGGGGCAGCCCCATGACCCCCATCTCATTTTGGGAATGCAGAAAGAAACCCCGGGACCCCGGTTTCAGCGTGGGGAGCCCTGCACATAGCTCTGCTCGGCAGTCCAGAGCCCTCTGCTCGGGGCCTGCCTGCCTCCGCCCTCCCCTCCGGCGCAGCCCACCTGCAGGTTGGACCACTGGATCCTCCCAATGCAGCGGGGGGCATTGCGCCAGGCCTGCTTGGCGGCAAAGATGAGCTCATCTCCCGTCAGCTGGTAGGTTCCTGTTGTTTCTATCTCCTTTGTTACTGCCTCCAGCCTGGCCAGATGTTCCTCTATTTTTGCTCTGGGGGACAGGAAGACATCAGGAAGATCAACAATGAGATGGCTTTAAATGGGGATAATTCAATCTACAGAAGCAGGAACTGAACTAGGACACCAGGAGGGCAAGATGTCACTCATGCGGACTGTCTCTTCCAGGGCCAGCTTCTTGAGTATGTGATTCAGGCCCTGAGCTTACAAGGGCCCCACACTTGGTTTAATGCTCTGCTGTCACCATAGTCTTGAAATTTTTAATCATTTTTGAAAAGGGAGCCCACATTTTCATTTTCACCCTGGGCCCTGCCATTTATGCCGTCGGTCCTGACCCCTCCCCCACCCTGTTGCTTCCAGGTGCTCTTGACCAAGGAAGCGTCCATCTACCTTTCCATGATTCAGAGGTGAGTCAGGCCCTCCCACAGCAGCTCCTGTGTACTGAGTTCTTTCTTGTTCTGAGCCAGGCACTGGGCAAAGCTGCTCATCGGGGGCGCCCTGAGTCCGGGAGGGAGGCTTCTTTGTGCTTATTGATAGTCTGCTATGTCAAGACTCTAGGAGCTAAGTACTGGCCCAGGGAGCATAAGTGAGGGAAAGAGCAGAATCAGGACTCAGGCTCAGTTTGCCTGATGCCAAGCCCAGGCAGGTTCTTAAACTTCCGCCTCCTACCCTATGGGGGATTGCGAGCCCAGAGATGTAGAGGGCCTGCCCACACTTCCCTGGGCAGGCCTGGACAGGACCCAGGCCTGGAACATACTTGGCCCCAGGGCCTACTCGGAAAGGAATCCTCTACAGAGGGGTCCAACATCTCAGGCTCTCTACAGCATGTTGCTTCTCGATCTTTCCACCACTCAGCCAGCAATCCCATGTGAGATATATAAACTGGCTTTTCCCCTCCACTTCCAGGTTTCAAAAATATCCCACAGGGAGAAATTCAGTCAGAAAGGCTTTAAAACACACACACACAGCAACCTTGAGATTCCTAATCAGCACCAAAGATGTTTGAAATGGCAATAAACTATTTAAGGAATGAATTCCTGATTAAGGAGAGTAGACAACTGAGAACAAAATGGCCTTTTTGTGGATGAAGAGTATCTCGACAACTCTTCCTTGATTAAAGAAAAAAGCTCAAAGACAAAACACTTGGCACTATTTATCTTCAAGGACACTCCTGGCATGAGGACCTGCTGGGTGAGGTGGATGTGGCCCCACCACCAGAAGCCTGTCCCCTGCAAGCAGAGCTTCCAGCAATGAACGTCTAGCAAGCTCCACGCCTTGAACATAGATGCCTGAACATCATCAGAACACTGGTGTGTGCAGCACACCTGGTAGTGTCCACATGTGACTACGTAAGGAAGGACTGTTTTCTACATTCTTTTACCTAATCCCTTCAGAATTTTATATTTTACTACTGTTTTCATATACTCACATTTCTGAGGCACTGCAAATGCTATGACGGATGCCTATTCTGAAAAAAGAATAGCTTTGGCAACAGTGAACTGGATTTGAACAGAACATTTAGCAAATTACAATTTCCAGCTATGCAATCCTTCATTCGCAAGTGGCTGAACCTGCCCAGCTGTCTGTGACTGTGGCTGCTAGTGTAATTGTGGGGGTGGACTGCCATTTGTCATTCATACTCCCCAGGACCTCCAGGGCATCCAAGGTATGGACTTGTGACTGGGAAGAATGGAAATTCCCTCTGTGAGAAGCAAATGGGTCCGAACAGCCAACTGGAGCAGCCTGTTGTTTCGCCAGGCTGACACCCACCCAACTGCCTTCCGAACACCAGCAGGACCTCACAGGTCCAGCATGGAGTCAGAACCTTCATGGTCAAAGAGCTGGACACCAGGACACTGAGGTTCAAATCAGGGGCTCTGGTGCCAAACCTCTTGGGTTCAAATCTCAGCTCTTGGCCTTCCGAAGGTGTGACTCTGAGCACGGTACCTCTCGTCCATGGGTTTCAGTTTCCTTGTGGGTAAAATGAGGAGGATAATAATAACCTATGCAGGGCCCAGAACATACCAGCACTCAGTGAATGTTAGTGTCAATACAGTGACCCAATGAAGCCCATCAGGAAAATTGGTGCACCTAAAGAGGCTTATTAGTGGATGATGGGGCTGAGAGCGGAAGGATCCTGAACCTTGCAGTCACAAAGCCCTGCTGTGAAGGCTTTAGTTACACAGCAGGCAACCTCCTAACCTCAGGCTGGCTGCACATTAGAATCACCTGTGGAGCTTGGCAAGCACATAGGTGTCTGCCCCCTCCCCACTCCCTGAGATCCTGATGCCCTTGGCCCTGGGTCCCCTGGCATCACTATTTGTACAGCCACAGTTGAGGATCACTGGCCCTGGAAGATAAGGGCCTTTTTCATAGACTCAAGCCTCCTCAAGCTCAGGCACTTCAGGGTCCTAGTAGAAGGGATGTGGGATCACCAGAAGTCACCCTCTCTGCCATGGTTGTCCCAGGTGCACCTCTGTGGATCACTTCCTGCAGTGAAGTGCCACGTGGTATAGACCATAAAAGTCACTCTCTCCTCCCCAGCAGATGCATTCCCTCAGCCATTCCGTCTTTCAATCCATTTGTGTATTTTTATTTTAAAGTTATAAATGGGCCTAAATTAATAGTCATATATTTTATGAAACCCAAGAATATAGAATTCCACAGAGTTCAGTGCAAAGAACATGGGCTGCCCTGCCCAAGTCAGGAGGCCTGGATTCTAGCTAGGACTGCATGACCTCAGCTATGTTTCTGGGCTTCCCTGTGCACAGCAGTAGGAGGGGTTGGCTAGGTGGTCTTAAAGGTCCTTTTGTATCACAAACATTTCATAATAAAAGGGTGCAGATCAATTCATAATCAAGGTTACCTTGTGTCAGGACTTATTTAATCCTCACAACAATCTCATGAGCCAGGTTCTATCACCACCCTCCTTTTACACAGGAGGGCATCATAGCACAGAGAGGGTAAACAGATTTCCTGAGGATACAGGACTGGTTACTGGTGGAGCTAGGATTCAAACTCAGTTTACATATGGGTCAGTTTACACTCCTGACCCATACCTTTAACCGCTAGTGCTAGGCCTCTTTGTCTTATAATTACAGGAACCCACTCCAGGGTCTGCTCCATTCCATAACTATTCTTTAGCCCTGGATCCACTAGGAATCTGGGAAGGAAGAGGGTCTGGGGTCAGAAGGAAACGGCTGGAGACAGGATAGCTTAGGGTAGGGGAGAGGTGCGATCCTGCAGGAAGCAATTCTTACTCTTTGAAGGAGCTGTAATACTGGTTGACAAATTCGATAGCTTGAGGTAGAAGCTCATCTGGAGGAGTAGGCTTATCCCTGGGTCCTCTGGTCATGCTTCTGGGGTTCATGATGGCTCCCAGGCAAGACTTGGTCTTGCAATGGATGTCCTGGAAAGAGAGAAGGTGGACCCCTTGGCCCCTCGGCGATGTGCTGAAGGCCATCCTCCTCCGGGGCCTGCTCTCCTGGCCCCCGCCTTCCCCTCTGGCTGTTCCAGCTCGCTGCTGGCCCACTCCACCCCCATGGTGTCTTCTCTTTGGGGTCAACCAGGATTGCTCCCAACCCAGATCTCCTTTCCTCTACTAGCTGAACCCTAGGAAAAGTGAGCTCACTCTCCCCAGACCTAGAGTAAAGTCAACAGCTCGATTATGGGGGACAAACAACTACCTTCTCATTTAAAGAGGTGGTCAGCCCAAATGATTTGAAACAAGAGGATGCAAACCTCAAAGTCAGAGGATGGTACAAAAAAAATACAGGCAAGAAGTACACCCCAGTTTTAACTGTGGTAATTTCTGGAAGGATTCATTCTGCTTTCGTGGTCTTGAAATTTTCTATTCTTTCCCACTTTACAATCTTAGAATGCATTCTGTAGTTAGAATAAGAAACTTAGAGGATAGGAAAGAGTCCTTCTAGTGACAGGGAGCTCACCACCTTCTAATGTAGTTCAGTCCAGTTTGGGCAGTTCTGTGAGAAAATTCTCCCTGATGCTATGCTGAAATGAGTCTAAGAAAGAATGAATTTGTTTCTGTTATCATTTATCTCACCTTCTGGATTATCCATTATAAGTGGGTTAACAGGGAGTTGGCATCATTTACTTCCTACTGTTATTTGTGAGGAACATGAGTCTGCGTCCCAGAACTCTTTGCCCAAGCAAACGACTGTTTAGCTTGCCCGGAGGCATCTGTGTGGTCCACGAAGGCTTCCCCAGCCTGGGATAAAGGCGGTTCTCCCTGAAGCCCCAGACTTCTTACCCTCTTGGCCTTGTGGTAAAGAGTGTCTTGGAAAGTCATCCCATTGTGCCAGTTTTTGATCCTCACATGCTGTGGGCCAGTCGATGGGGGCACATCCAGCTTGACCAGGGATTCTGGAGATGCCTGAGAGCGAGGGAAACCAGGGATTTCCAAATGCCTCCAACCCCAGCACCCCGGGCCCTGATTTGGCTTTGTGCAAGCGGGGGGCTGTGGGCTGGCACGCAGGTCAGGGTGTCAGCCCATGTGCCTCCTGCCTTCCCAGCAGCCGGGCCACCTGGGCCAGTGCCTGTTAAGAGCTCCAGGTGCCTGGGCCACTGGCCAGGCTTCTCTCCTCACCAAAGACCCTGCCAAAGACTTCCTCAGAGGAACATTAACAGGAGAGACTAGGTCAGATGTGAGGGAGACACTGCCATAGTCAATAACGCAGAGAACAGAAAGCAGGACAAGGAGGCATGTCTGCACCACTGCCTCCCACAAAGGCATTCAGTAATATGAAACCATGTTCTCTCTCACCTCCCTCTCATTTCTCTTCCCACTTTTCCAGAACTCTGAGGTCCAAAGCACTTACAGAGGACGGAATGGGTTGGAATAGAGGCTGGGCCCAAAGGCTCAACTGCTGAACCTGGGATTATTTTGGCATGTCCTACCCTGGCTCCACGGACAGGGCCCTCTCACCCAGGCCAGCCAGCCCTCACAGGGAACATCCAGGTGCCTGGGCCTTGCAGGCACCCCCTCCTGATCACCACAGACCAGCCTGCTCACCCACCTGTGCCCACAGTGTGCCCTGGGGTGATCCCACACCTCAACCTCCACCAGGCTGCTCAGCCTGCATCTGCCTGGGGGAGGAAGGGGCTTCCCACACCCAAGGGAGTCACTGACCTTTGTGGTCCCCGAGAGACACTGGGGGCACTCATTCTGGTGCTTGCTGAGGCTGTGACACTTGGGGTCATCCTGTGTCACTGGACTGCAAAAGGAAACAGCTATCATGAGACAGAGTATCTGTGGGCAGAGAGGGATCTTGGAGTCCCCTCTGCCAAACTACTGTTTGTCAGATGGGGGAACTGAGGCCCAGAGATGGGAGTAAATTTCATGGCTTCCAGTCACATAGGATGTGTGCATGTGGTGGGGGAGGCAGGCAGGAGGACCCAAGCTCCCCCCCATCATGACCCGCCCTCCTTCTCTTGTCTTGCTTTCCCCCTACAAAGCCACAAGATGTAAGGGGAGCTGAGCCAAAGTCAGCGGCCAAACAGCACTGCACAGAGCTCTGGGAAGACACCCCCCCGTGGAATCCCATACAGATGTGGCAAAGGGCTGTTTGGGCAGACCAAAGCCTCCTTCAACCCTGCCCACCATCCACTTGTTTTGGGAGGACTTAAGCTTTTTTATTTAAAATACTTGGTTTACCTTGGTTTATTTATTCATTTAAAATTTATATTATGCAAAATATTAAGCACACATGAATAGGGAGAACACTTCTCCTATACCCCATGGGTCCCTCGCCCAGATTCAACTCCAATTCAACAACTATCAGCCCAGAGCCAATCTTGTTTCGACTCTGCACTCCCAGGCCCCACTGTCATTTTAAAGCAAATATAAGATGCCAGGTCATTCATGAATATCTCAGTAAGTATTTCTGGAAGAGAAGGACTCTTTTTATTGTATTTATTTCAAAACAACAGATTTAAAGAATGTCACCTATCCTTTGAAGAAGAAAAATCCCTATCTGTCTGAAATCACTCAGAAACCACTGGTTCTGGTTTAGGATTTCAGGTTGGCCCTCCTGGCAAATGCACGTGACTCCCCTCACCCACAGGAGAGCACCATGCCCCCTCCTGGGGCGCATCACACCCCAGGGGCAGCTCAGCATGAAAGCTTGACATAGTCCATGCTCTTTGCAGTATTCTCTGGGGTGTGTGTGCATGTGCACACACATCTAAGGAGAAAGGAGGTTAGTGAGTGTCACAAAGGTCTCTCACTTTCCACTTTATGCATATCGGTGATGTTGGAATATGATAAATGGGTATGTATGGCTTTTACTATTGGAAAAAATAGTGATTGTATATCTATATTATACAACTAACTACATACGTTACATAGAAGCATTATATGATTTATAACTACAGAATGCCCCCTTCAGAGAATGTACATATGTATCACAAATCAACTTCTATCTGAATCAAGTGCTTCAGCAGCCCTGGAGAGGGCCCTTCATATGACCTGCTGTCATCACCCCTCTGTTCTGAACTGGTGTAGCCCACCAGGAAACAAGCCAGTACAGGGTAATGTGGACATTTAAAACAGGCTGAGCAGTCATCATGGGGGTGCTTAAACTGGAAAATGTTTTGAGGCTGGGGTCTCGGTGAGGCATTGCCTCACTGCTCTTTGTAATCTTTTGCCATTACCCTTCACCCCAACTCCCCCCCTGCTTGTTTTTGCTTTCTCTTACCTCTTTGTGCCATAGGCCTGGAGGATTTGAGAAGTTTACTGGTCCACAATAACGCTGAGATTAAGAATCAATGTCCTTGTACATTTAACATAAATAGCGCCTCCAAATATTAAAATGCTACCAAAAAGTCCACTATACAGATGGGCCACATTTGGCCTGAGTCCATTACCTATGACTGGATATTTAGGTTATGTCCAGTTTCTATTGTAAATAATGCCTCAAGCTGTATGCAGGGACTGATGCTGTGTGTGTGTGTGCGCGAACACACACGTGTGCACACACACACAAGCAGAGAAAAACACCTGGGGGAAATGCAAGTACATATTACCAGTGACTAGCATTAAGTGATGAGAGGATGAGCGATTTGAATTTTTCTTTATATTTTTTGCATTTCTAAACTTTTACAGTGACCATGAATTCCTTCATAATTGGACTTTATTTTTGAAAAATGAATAAACAAAGCTATGTACAGTCACTCCCCGTTCTCCCTCAGTTAGCAGATTTCTTTGGGCTAGCTGCTGGGAAACAGGGTGACCAGAAGCCAGGTGAGCATATTAAGGATCTGCGTCCTTAATGGCCAGGTATTAATTACATGATCTATTCAGACACTCACGCAGTTTGACTAAACGCACAGCTTGGTCCTGTTTGGTTCTTCGTAGGGGCAGAGGACCCTTAAGGAATTGCCATCAGAAGGAATGTGGTGCTTACTTAGACCCAGAACTGTCTACAAATCCTTGAATGATTGAGGTCAGCTGAGGCCAGAGCAGCTTGGAGTTAGGGTGGGGTCGTGATTTTCCTGTGGTTTCCTCCCCACCTGCCCACCATGCCATACACCAGTGTGGGGCGTGGTGGTGGGGGTGCGCGCTGGGAAATGGGTCTTATTTGTAAAACCAGAACCTCTTTGAGCTCTTAATCATATCTGTGCGAGAGGGTGGAGCAGCCCCAACGCTAAAACACCTAGAAAACTCCCCAGTGCTGAAGCACCCGCAATTCCTACTCCAGCCCAGAGACGCCTCTCGTAGGTGCCTGTAGGGCTTCTGAGTCCTTTGTGACTAGTGAACTTCAACCTTTTATGCGTTCTAAAAGAGTAAGACACTTTAATGTTCAGCAGCATCCTAGAGAGCGAACATCTGATGTTCGCGGAGAACTGAGTCTCAGAGCAGGGCAGTGCCGTGCCCGGATTCGAGCCTCCCGCGCGCCTCCCTCCCAGGGCGGACCCGGCCCGGCAGGAGTACCTGGCTCGGCGGCGGCTGGGGGAGGGCTGCAGCCGGAGGATCCTACGCAGGAGCCGGCAGAGCCGGGGCCGGGCGGCCTCGCACGCCGCGCCCAGCCCCTCGCGCATGGCCCCGGCGCGCAGCCTCGCGCCGCGCCCTCCTCTTTATCGCCGCCGGCCCCCGCGGCCCCCGCCCCGGGGCGGAGCGAGCCCGAGGAGAGCCCAGACTCGGCTTCACCCCGTGTTTGGCCCCGGGCCAGAATGTTGCCCCGCGAAGGCCGCCTCCTTGGTACCATCCCGGCCCGCATGCCCCATCGGCCCCCCAACCCCGCGGCGTCTGCAGGGAAGACAGCCTCTTGGATGCTACCGGGCCGTCTCTGCGCCTGTAAAGCTGGCCTCGGGCTTGTTTATTTCGCCTCTATACAGTGCTTTACACTTTACAAAGCAAACTTTCCTTTCCGTTGTTTCATCTGCCTTACTAAACATAGTCAAGAAAGCAAGTCTGTATTGTTATGCCCACCCTATTGAGTAGGAAGCCCGGGCGGTGGAGCGCAGAGAGGTTAATGGTCTTGCCCAGGGCCGCACAGCAGCTCCAGAGGCCAAGCGCTCTCACTTCACAGGGCTGACCCAGGAAGTGTTATTTCTTTTCTTCAATTCTGTGATTCCACGAAGGAAGCCAAAGAAAGCACAGGGCTGGGGGTGACTTTTAGTGGGGTCTTCGAGGGGGTGGTGGCATGAGGGAAGGGGGGTGTTGGACCAGAAGCCCCCTGGGGCCCTTTCTAAGGCTTCTGGTCCTGGCTACCTGTGAGGCACATGGCCCCTGACATTGTTCCATTTGCAAGCTGCTTCTACAGTGGAAGCAGGATAACTCTTAGGGTGCAGACAGGGACAGGGCAGCAGCCCCCCGCCTCAGAGCACCTCCTGGACATACTCCAGACAATTTAATCCCACACCCAAATTAAAGTGGAAGGACAGAGGGCACACACTTGTTCTGAGCTGCCTGCACCCCAGCTAGCAACACTAAGCTTGACTTTGTTCAGAATTCATATACCCTTACCTAGACATTCCCACACTTGCCTTTGTCTCTAAAACACACGCACAAGCACATCACACTCACTTCCTAATCATTTGTTTACATAAAATATAGAATCATCAGTCACAATGGTCTTACACCTGAATGCATTGGAGAATTACTTTTTAAAATCAAAATATATTAATTGACTCCCATTGCTTTCAGGATAAAATCCCCTCTGTGCTGTTCCCTCTTCCAGTAACATCCTCTTCACCCCCTCACTGTACCGTCATGGTCCAGCTGTGCCTTCTGACTCCCGAAAGCCTTCTCCCACCCCATTCCTCCCCACACCACAGCCAGGCCAGGCCCCCTGCGGTAAGCCCAGAAGAGACCCTAGTGTGCCCACATTCTCCTGAACCTGTCTGCCTCTACCCCACCCCCCCACCCCCACCCCAACTGCTAAGGCTCTTTGGTGTCCCAGTCTTCATGTACTCCTCCACAAGCCAGTGAGGCAGTCATCGTTTCCCCCTTTCCTCCCTGACAAGAACTGGACCTCTTTTCTCTGTCCCTCTCTCAGCCCAGTAGGTGGTAGGCGTTGGGGAAAGCCCATATGATACAGAGATTATGAGTTTGGACTTGGTTCAAACCTCAGCTCCACCACTTTGCAGATGTTGACTTTGAGTAATTCACTCAACCTTGTTAAATAAGGGTAATAATATTTCCTGAAATATTATTGACACAGAAATAAGAACTGTGTAAATGGTATTCTGCTATTTTTAGCTACTGTATATGCAATTAATAAATGACTCAATTTATTGTTTATTTAACTGAAAAACAGAAGGGTTTCCCTGACATCTCCACAGCACTCCCAGTAGAGTGCCAGGTGAGTAGCCCTCAGCAAATAATTGTTAATGGACTGGAACATGCCCAGGACCAAAAAAGCAGCAGCCTGATGTAGTCATGACAAGCTGGGCTCCTGGTTTAGCTCCTGGCTCAATCATTTGCTAAGTGTGAGGTCTTAAAAATTACTTAACCACTTCTAGCTGTGTCCTCATCACTACAGTAGGAGGACAGCGTTCTTTCCTCATGGATTGTTGGAAGGGTTAATTAATGTGTGATATTTTCTCTCGTCTTCTTTGATATCAGTTATTTCTGATTTGAGCACTTCCACCAGCTGTCCCCAGCTTAAAAAGATGGGTCAAGTCAGCTGGTTTGCCTCGGATCGTCCTACAGCTCAGGCCTCCCGAAAGGTCCAAAAACACAAGTCGGCAATAACTGTCAGCACAATTAGAAAGCAAGGTTATAGGCCACACAGTAAAGGATAAGGGAGGAGGGGGATTCAGGACAATCTTGGAAGGTGGGGAGTGGGTCGGGTCTGAATGAACTGAGGGAGGAATGTGCTGTTTAGAGGCACTGGGGGACTCAGGAAGGCTGGGCTGAGCAAGTGGGATGGGCCCTCTTTCTGGAAAGGGTGATCATATAGAACCCTACAGTTAAGACTCACTGTGGTGACTGGCAATGGGGAGCCACTGAAGACTCCAGAGCAGGAACATGACTTGCTAGAAGTCAGCCTGAAGTGAGAGAGGTCAGAGCGAGTATGGGGGGCTGTAGCTGGGAAGGCCAACCAGAGGAGCTGCAGCCATGAGGTGAAGAGAAGGACGGGATGCATGACTTGGTGACCAAGCAGAATCAAAGTAGACCCCTGGGGTTCAGGCCCTCCTGAGATCATAGAGGAGAGATGAAGCTTCATCCGAAGCTTCATCCGTGAGTGTGAAGTGCCAGGGGGATATCTAGAGGCTATCCAACGCTGCAGTCTCATCTCTTGGTCTCTTGACCACCTTGGCCACCACAGCCCAGACTGCCTGGTTTCAAACATTCTTTCCTCCAGTTCAATCCACACACCACACCTGCACTGTTTTGCTCAAGAATCTGCAATGGCTCCCTGCATCCAAGCACAGCAAGTCCACACCCCTACCCCGCACTCAGGCCCTTTGTGCTCTGGCCCTGCCTCTCCTATCCCAGGCCTAGCAGGTCAGGCTCCCCTGTTGTCCGTCTGAGTCTTTGCCTCTCCTCCTCCTGGAATGCCTTTGCTCCTTCTCTTCACCTCCACACATTCCACCCACTCTTCCAAGTCCACTGAGAGCACCTGACTTATGTGAAGCCCTTAGGGGGAACTTGGTAACATTGCCCAACCTCATCCTAGCAGCCAACAACAATAACAGCAATGCCCACTGTAACAGATGACACTTACTAAGCAAGCACTTACTCTCTGCCAGGAATAGGGCTAAGTTATTTACATGTGAAAACTAATTTAATTCTTACCACATCCCCAAGGAATAGGCATTACTACCTTCTTCTTACAGAGGAGGAAATTGAGGATCAGAGGCTAGGGGAGTTGCCATAGATCACAGGGCTGTAAATTCAAAGCCACCTGCTTACCCCCAAGCCCACATTCCTAATCTGGCTGCTCTTCTGTGCCGTCAGGTACGCTCAGCACAGCCATGGTGCACACCACCAGGGGGCACCCTCCTGCTGCAGTCCATGGGAAAGGCTCCTCTGGCCCCTTGGGACAGCCCTGTGTACTCCGGGGCTTTGGTTTGATTCATACTTTCATGTTACTGCAGATGGGCTTGTCTTTCCATTTAAGCAAGCCTCAACCTCTAGGTCAAAGCTATGAACTCTTCTAGCATGTTCTGGAAGCCTGTCCTCTCACTGGATGGTTGACTGACTAATTCTCTCAGTTCTGCTTTTCCTACAGGCAGGGGGTTCAAATTCCAGCTCTGTAATTATCAGTCATTTGACTTGGGGGAAGTCACTCCCCTCTTAGAGCTTCTATTTGCTCATTTGTAAAATGAGACAATAACTGGTACTTCACAGAGCAGCCCTGGAGATCAGTTGACTGTTGCCATGTGCCTGGCCCAGAGTGGGCGCTCACTAAACTACAACAAACCGTGACATTTACGGGTTGCCTGCTGCGTGCGGGCACACTGCTGAGTGCACTGCACACACTCTCATTTCAGCCTCCATATGCTATGAGGCGGTGCCCGTTGGTGCCCTCATACTGCATCTAAGGATCAGAGTTTAACTTGTCCTAGGTCACACAGCTGATGAGAGACAGCACAGGGTCTGGAGATAGTGTAATATCCTGGTACTCTTCACCAGGTTGATACTCAAAACACCCAACAACTGGTGAGTCATATGCACAGACGAATCAGAAAAGATGCCCGCCAAGATGCCACACCAATTCTAACCGCTGGGCTCTACTGCCTCTCATTCTCTGTTCAGCTATTTACTCCATAGTTCGCTCCCATATTCTTCCCCCAGAGACTCCGAGCACCTTGAGGGCCAGGACTGTGCTAGGTCCCTTCCTTCTTACATAATGTCACCGACTGGCTGCATCAAATTCCAACAGGTTCATCCAAGAAACAGCTGGAGAGGTCAGAGGAGGGAATGGAAGCCCAGAGGAGATGAGCAGGAGGTGGCAGCCAGGAAAAGCCTACCTGGAGGGAGCCTGGGTGGCCTTTCCCACATTGTTGTTGATGTCCGTTTTCTCAGTCATGTCATACTGGTAGGATTTGGCCTTGAACAGGAACTTCCAGGGACAGGCCATCTCTGTGACTTTGCAACAGGTCACTTATCTGGACTTAAACTCAGAGGTTATTCGCTGTGGGGCTAAGGAAGGAGATGGTGACAGAAGACTGAGGAAGAGTTTACGTCATCAGGTCCTCTCTGTATGGCTAGGTTACTACAGAATCAGTACAAAAGCCAGCATAAGTTGGGAATAGCCACTTCATCACTGCTTTGCAACTTCTGTTCCCATTGTCGGATTGGATCTGGGGAGCCTATGGACATAGACTTTAATTCTACAAAGCCACATAAAAATCTGAAGGGAAAACACTAGTCCTGTAGCTCCACAGGGACAAAGCACACACCCTGTGAACCTCCTTAATGAGACTTGCTGGCCCGCCTGACCAGGAAAGCTTCATTGATGACCTGAGGCAACATGCTCAGTAGATAGTATCTGTTGTGTTATCACTGTTATTGCCATTGGTCACTAGGAGAGGTTGAGCAATGTTGAAGTTCCTTCTAAGGGCCTCACAGAAGCCCTGGTTATTGAAACATGGATGCCTTTGCCTGGCCCTGCAAGACTGTTTTTGCTGTTCTAATTAGCAACTGTCAGGTTACACCTGTCACTGGTGCAAGCACTCAAGTTGTAGCTGCCTTTAAGATTTTGCAATTGTAAGATACTACCACCTGCTCCTTCTTTAGTATATGGATGTTGGGGGGAGATAATAAGTGTTTGTGAAAAAAAATGCACTCAACTCTCAACATCTGAGATTATCTCCTTATCTTTTTAAAAAGACCAAAAAGGGAGACCTAAGTGGAGGTGCATGTCTAGTCTGGGCTTGCCCCCAGCATAGAAACATTTGGACTGGCAGCCAGCATGGTGGAGTGGCCCATAGAAGAATCTTAGAGTTCCCCAAACCTGGGTTCAAATTTTGGCTCTACTACTTACATGACCTTGTTCAAGTCATTTAACTGAGACGCATTTCTTCATAAAATGGGTTTAATAATATCCATCTTAACAGAATTTGTTTGGGAGGGGAGAGATGTAAGGACTGGGGAGGATAATCTATGTAAAAACAATTCTTAGCAGATTACTCCCTACTCTCCAGTCTGAATTGTCGAAAAAAATTTCCCAGTGTTTCCTTGAAATGTAGCAACAACAGCAAATTTTGCAGAAAAAAAAATCTGAACAAGACGCCCTGTTCAAACAGCCACCCCTTTTGTTGGCATTTCTCAGACCTCCCGCCAGTTTCTCTTTCTAGGCAGAAAAGTCCCCCCGTTTTCTGAGCCTTCCCAAACAGGAAGAAGCAAAACCCTCTCAAAACAGCATCTTCCCCAGAAATGAAGACAACTCACCTGAGCGCTGGCTCCCCTGCCTCCACAGGGGACAGACAAGCACGCAGCTGGACAGCCTCCGAGCCAAGTCTGACTGCCCCGTGCTCCTCCCAAAGGTGGTTGAGAGGTCTCAGAGTGGTGATGCTGAATTACCTGGGGCCAGGGAAACCTCAGTCTTCAACTCACTGCAAAGTTATGATCACACTAGCAGCTAAGAAGTATTTATACCCACCGCATGTCATCAGGGAGCTGTTTTTGCATAAAGGTCTCTTTTTTGTTTCCAAAGGGAGTGTCCCTGGCTGGGTGTACAGTTAGCTAATTTATGACCACTCCTTGTCTCTGGGTGACTTGATCCTGTCATTACATCACTCGGTGTAGTACATCTCCAGTAAACCCACCTATTCCTGGTCGCAAGCCCAAGGAGTCAGCTCGTCAGCAGGGTGAGGGGTCTGATAGAGAAGCTGTCCCGGGGCCAGGTTTTCCTTAGCTAAGCCACAGTTGCCTCACTTTCAGCATCTGGGTGGGTTTTTTTTTCCTCAGCAGGGAGCTTTCTGCTTAATTCCCATCCAGTCTCTCGGATTTCCAGTTTGCGGCTGGAGTCCAGGAAACAGGGGAATATTGACAGCATGGAACACACTGGAAAATGCCCAGGTTACAGAAAACCAGTGATGCTGGATGATGCCAGTGTTCCAAACAGGCCCCTGAAATATGCAACTTGAGATTTTGGCAAGGGAAGGAAAGCTGTTGGCATAGACACCTCCAATGCTGGTGCCACTAATGTCTCATCCTGCAGCTCTAAGTGAACTGTGGTGGGACGGCAGGTAGAGTTATTTTCTACAGGGGAAAAAATCCCTTTCTTACAAATGATATAACTTCTTATATGGAAAATTATAATTTCTTATAATTCCATGTACTATAATGCTTCAAATACAGTATTCCTATATGGTAGGAATTGTTCCATTATAAAAGTAAAATAACAATTACATTAGGGAAGAGTCAAAACTGCAGGGAAAAAATATCGCCCTTGATTTCACTATCCTGACACATGGTTGTCACCATCCATTCATCTCCTTCCTGTCTTTCCCAAATTAAATGCAACATTATAATAGTATATATAATGATATGTATATATAGTAGTGGATTGAATTTGTCTAAGATAGATACACTGAGTCCAAAAAAGACACGAATAGGTGCTCAAAGATCTTTGTTGAGTGAATGAACAAATGAATGAAGATTAGGAATAGACTACAATGAGTTTCAACATATCAAAGCCATCCTTTCGTGCTTTAGCCAGTTCCATTCAAGGAAACCAACACTGCCTGAGGAAAGACGCAGAGATCCTGGGCTCAGAGAGTGCAAAGCTTAGAGAAAAGAATGAATGGAAACAATATAGAGAGATAAATACAGTGATGGATGGACGGCAGAGCTGATGCGCCGAATCTGAGTTGCTCAGGGAAGGTTCACAGGGGAGAGGACACCAGGGCAGGGATTTTTTTGTTTTTTTTTTGTTTTAATTTTTTATTAAGGTATTATTGATATACACTCTCATGAAGGTTTCACATGAAAAAACAATGTGGTTACTACATTTACCCATATTATCAAGTCCCTACCCATATCCCAATGTAGTCACTGTCCATCAGTGCAGCAAGATGCAGGGCAGGGTTTTGAGGGATGTTTAGGAGTTTGCTTCACTCTAACCCCTATTCCCTGTAAACTGCTTCCACATATACTGGCTATATCTGCAGCAAGTTCAGGTATTAACATCTTGCATTCCTCTAACAATCCTATGAGGTGGGTACTATTACTTGACATTCAGTGAAATTCTCTACAATCCTATCTACTTGGCATTAGAGCATCTGGTTAGTTTTGCTTCAGAAAATGCAAGTATTCCATTATTTGTTCCATTAAACATGTGACAGCTGGGCTCTGAGTACACGGGCAGTGCCATCCCAGGACGTGTGTGGGTTGCCCTTCACCTGAGTCTGATGCCCTCGCTCTCTTAGATACTCCCACCAACAATGAAGACAGCTTCTCCCAAGTGCAGTCCCTGGAGAATGTCTCCAGGTCCTCATTATCTTGTCAGCTTGCCTCAGCAAGGGACTTCCCTCTACATGACCCCCGAGGCATGTGTGCTTATAACCACCAGCTGCCTGGGTGTCCTTGCCTTCTTTGATTCCTCACCCTCTGGACAGGTGTGGAAACGGAGACACCTGGAGTCTCAGGTGAAAATGTGGCAGAGCCTTGCAGGAAATCCAGATCTCCTGACTATGCCCCCACTAAATCATGGGCCCTTAGGGGTAGGAACCATTGCTGTCCTCACCACCCACTATCCCCAACCCTACTGGCTGGCACAGAGTAGGCACTCGGAAGCCTTAGCTGAATGACTGATGAGTGGTGCCAATCAAAGGGCCTTGGGAGTGCCTGGCACAGGGCAGGAGCTCGGTAACGATTTGTTTTCTTTCCCTGTTCCTTTGCATTCTGCTCATGTTACCAGCCTGAGCTTCAAGGCTGCCAGATTGCCCAGGCCCTATGCTAACTCAGAGCCTGCCAACCTTGATGCCCTTGGCCTTTGGCAGGGTTTGGGTCAGCTACTGTCCAACCCAAGCACCAGGCTTTGAGGACACGTCTGCAATAAGCCTGAAAGGCCCTGGGCTCTAGTGACAACCCCATTATTGAGTTGCTGTGTGAACTCAGAAAAGCCACCTCTTGCCTCCAAGCCCACCTTTTCACTCAATGAACCATGGCCAAGATAAAGTGGCTAAGTGAGATACAAGAAAATGTTTTGAGCTATGGACCAAAAAGGCAGCCAGGCAAGAATTTTTGGCCCCTACTATAGGTCAGAAAAGTCACTGTCCATCAGTGCAGCAAGATGCAGGGCAGGGTTTTGAGGGATGTTTAGGAGTTTGCTTCACTCTAACCCCTATTCCCTGTAAACTGCTTCCACATATACTGGCTATATCTGCAGCAAGTTCAGGTATTAACATCTTGCATTCCTCTAACAATCCTATGAGGTGGGTACTATTACTTGACATTCAGTGAAATTCTCTACAATCCTATCTACTTGGCATTAGAGCATCTGGTTAGTTTTGCTTCAGAAAATGCAAGTATTCCATTATTTGTTCCATTAAACATGTGACAGCTGGGCTCTGAGTACACGGGCAGTGCCATCCCAGGACGTGTGTGGGTTGCCCTTCACCTGAGTCTGATGCCCTCGCTCTCTTAGATACTCCCACCAACAATGAAGACAGCTTCTCCCAAGTGCAGTCCCTGGAGAATGTCTCCAGGTCCTCATTATCTTGTCAGCTTGCCTCAGCAAGGGACTTCCCTCTACATGACCCCCGAGGCATGTGTGCTTATAACCACCAGCTGCCTGGGTGTCCTTGCCTTCTTTGATTCCTCACCCTCTGGACAGGTGTGGAAACGGAGACACCTGGAGTCTCAGGTGAAAATGTGGCAGAGCCTTGCAGGAAATCCAGATCTCCTGACTATGCCCCCACTAAATCATGGGCCCTTAGGGGTAGGAACCATTGCTGTCCTCACCACCCACTATCCCCAACCCTACTGGCTGGCACAGAGTAGGCACTCGGAAGCCTTAGCTGAATGACTGATGAGTGGTGCCAATCAAAGGGCCTTGGGAGTGCCTGGCACAGGGCAGGAGCTCGGTAACGATTTGTTTTCTTTCCCTGTTCCTTTGCATTCTGCTCATGTTACCAGCCTGAGCTTCAAGGCTGCCAGATTGCCCAGGCCCTATGCTAACTCAGAGCCTGCCAACCTTGATGCCCTTGGCCTTTGGCAGGGTTTGGGTCAGCTACTGTCCAACCCAAGCACCAGGCTTTGAGGACACGTCTGCAATAAGCCTGAAAGGCCCTGGGCTCTAGTGACAACCCCATTATTGAGTTGCTGTGTGAACTCAGAAAAGCCACCTCTTGCCTCCAAGCCCACCTTTTCACTCAATGAACCATGGCCAAGATAAAGTGGCTAAGTGAGATACAAGAAAATGTTTTGAGCTATGGACCAAAAAGGCAGCCAGGCAAGAATTTTTGGCCCCTACTATAGGTCAGAAAATAACGATTTACCTTCTGACAAAAACAAGAAGGTGACATGACCTGTCTTTCAAAATACCTTTTTTCACACGGCCAGTGCTCCGCCACAAACATTTGCTGTTAAGGTCCCAATTTTCTTTCTCTGTTGTATTACATCCATTTATTTATTTTTATTGGGATAAAATTCACCACAGGGAAAAATTCACCATATTAACTATTTTAAAGTGTACACTTCAGTGGCCTTTCGTGTATTCACCATGTGGTACGTAAGCATCACCACTACCCCAATACTCCCTTAATTGGAGGACATCAAGTCGGGAAGGAGATAAAGCTGTGAGGATCATGATACACAAAGAGATTAAGAGAATAACCATGGTCACACAGCAGGCAGTCTCTGAGCTGGGACAAACAGAGGGCCCTGATGTCCACCCCAGAGCTCTAGTCATCAGGGTCCAGGGCTGGCCGCCATTCTGGGCGTCGTCATGGATTTAACTCTGCATCCCTTGGCTTTCTGGATTTACACAGCTGCTCACCCAAACAGGCTGCATTCCTGGGCCTCTTCTGATGATGGATGTGGCAGGTGAAGGCTGCCAAGGAGAAATCACAGAGCACCTTGAAGGGCCGGCGGTGGACAGGTGGGCCCCCAAGAGGGCAGGGATGGAAGGTCTGAGGCTGCCTGTCTCACTTCATTACCAGCACATCCCAGGCACCATGCCAACAGCAACAGCGATGGAATTTCTCAGCCTTGTCATCCTGGGACTGACTTTCCATCAATAAATGCTCTGTCCCTATGCTGAGTTGTGGAAATGGTTCAGCAACAGTTGGCCCTTGGGAATCAGCAGCTTCGAAACACTTTCTACAAGAACAGCGATCAGAGGGAACACTTACAAAGCAAGGCACATATATGTATCTTCCATTTAATCCCCACTGTGAGGAAAGTGTTATTATTAGCCCCATTTTATAGATGGTAAAATTGAGGCTTGGTGAAATTAAATGAAGGGGTGGTGGACAGAGGAGAGCGCCTCAGGTCAGAGGAGATGCGTCAAACTCCACTGCTTCTAAATGAGAGTGCTGATGTCCCTTCTCCGTGGCTGGGGTGCCCTAGTTCTCTGAACCCAGGGAATTCCCACTCTTATCCAGGAAGTTCCAGCTCAGCACCCCTTGCACCTGGTATCCTGTAGGTATAAAGAAAGGAGTAAAGCA